TTACAAATTTCACCAAATATATCTTAACTAACTAAAATTTAGCTTTAGCTATTTAGGCTAGGACAGGAACACAAAAACCACACCGTGCCTCACCTCACTCACAATAACGTACGATTTCAAATGTCATCCATTTTTTTAACCCATTGGCGCTGCTTTTGATACTTAAAAACGGGCCTTCTTTTTTGCTGGTTTTAGACTGCTCGTGGTTTCTTCTGTCTCGTAATTTGGTCAAATATTGCCTTAATATATGTGAATGAGGGTCCTTTGGTCAAAACTAGTTTCCAGTATTGTCAAGTGGGTATTGGGTTCATAAAAAGACTTAAACAATACTATTAGTAGTTTACTGCCACATTCAGTAGATACTCCCTTAGCAAAATTTATGTATAGGATTTTACATATATATTATTATTTATATGCTATAAAAAATTGAAACCATTACCTAAACAAATGTGCATAGTGAAACTAAAACAAATAAATAAGAATGGAGAGAGTAATTTGATTAGATACCTAACCTATATGCCAAGTGGGTTCACCCAGTTGATATCAAATTATATTCCACAAAAAATGATGTCTATATATATGAAGTATGCAAGGAACAAATAGATTTCTACTCATCTTCTATCTTAGTTTGATTGTAACGTCCACTGCATCAGTTAATACAATGACAATGATCCAGCCAAGAAACTGCATATATCCATACATCTGCTAAGATAAGAACAATTAAAATTGCATCCGATCCCTTTACCTGCCAAGAAAAAAAAAATATGAAACTAATAATCCAAGGATCGAGTTTAGTTAGCAACGTTAAATTAGTTCTTGGTTGTCAAATTGTTACTTAATCCAAGATATTGGGTGGGATTTTATGGATATTAATTAATTAATTAATTCTTCTAAAAGGCATCGTTTGAAGCATCTAACAAAGCAAATATCATTGCTTTGTAGCGGACTTTGTTCGGATTCCATTATTGTTTTCTTTTCCTTTGAGCAGATTCTTTTCCTTGTTAGTTACCATATTATATATGTTTTAGAGTTGAAGATTGTGAAAATTGTGTGGAATTGGGAAGGAATCCAATTAAATCAGAGAATCATATGATACCAAACAAGCTTTTATAGTTGGCAAAGCAGGCATTTCTACTAAAGGAGATTATTCATTATTCTCTCTTATTTACAATATCAATTAATTAACTTATGCCTTGACTTGTAACTAATTAGGGCATTAAAGTAGTTGAATGTAAATTTAAGGTGATTAAGTAGGCTGAAAACCCTTGGTGGTGGCCCATGGTGCAATATGTGCCACTTCCCTATGGGAATAAGAGCAACCAGCTCACCTCGGGTTGGATAAGTACGTCCTATGAATAATTAGCTTATGCCCTGCTAATAATCATGTACCATTTTTCTCCATCTCAAATTCAATGCCATACAGAATTAAAGTTTTATATATACACATGATGCAGGCTGGGCATTTGGTTCCCTTAGCTAGCTTAATATTGCTTGGTACGAAAGCTCGTTAATATATTTATGTTTTGTGTCCTCTTTCATTTAAAAATATTTATTATCATTTGGTTGAAAAATCTAAACCTAGTGGGTGTCGTGATCTTCCATGCCATTACTGTACTACAGCAGAGAGTCGAAGCAAGCAACTAAGATTCGACTAATTGCTGTGGTCCAAAACACTGGAAAAAATTGGTACCAAATTAAGAGATAGTAGCTTTCCTTTAAACTTTTGAAAAGGGGATGTAATAGTATTTATTAATTTCTTCACGTAGTAGTTCATCAATTACGTATGCAGTACGCTCATATCTCATGACCTCATAACTCATTGAATGATTTGTAATTACTAGGATTGATAAATGCAGGCCACTGAAATATATTACTCGGGTGGTCCACTACCAGCCGGATGCATTTGATGAAATTCCCAAGTCAAACTTCATATTTTAATTTTCTGTAATTTATCAAACAAAAAGCATGCATGGAGGCTTTCTGCAATCAATTTGTTAAATAAAACCCAAGTTTTTTTTTTTTTTTTTTTTGGTTTCAATGATAGAGAGATGCAGTAGAAATTGTCAAATGAAGTTGCCATGCATCATTTCCATGTTATAAGGACG